TAAGAACCTTAGGGCTTTTCCTGCCCAGGTTCACTTTGAATCATGATCTTCAGATCTCAGACTCTTGAGCAGCTAGGAATACAGACGTGAGCTACTAGTGTCTCACTTTTTGCTGGCCCAAGCCTGCACTGTGATCTTCCTATTTTATGCTTCCCTCTTTAATTGGGATGACAGTTATGTGTCACAGCAGCCAGTGGTTGAGAAAGACTCACAAACTTGTTGGCAGGGCTGGCCTTGAATTCTGATACTTGTAATGTTAGCTTTCTGAGTAGCTAAGATTATAAATGTGTGCCCATGGAGCTTGAGAGAGGTTTTAATATACTTTAATATAATATTCATACACACTGATAAGAAAAGCCATAAAACCAGAGTTTAATGAGCAGAGCATATTTAACTATAGGAAAAAAAGCCTCAGAAAAGTTATTTTTAGCAGCATATAAACAAAAGCAAGGTGCAATTTAATATCTTAGTAGGTTAGCAATATTTTTTCGGTCAGAATATTTAATGGCATGGATGTTAATGATGATGTAGTACTTTATATATTCCTGAATAAATCAACACACTGTAATGCACTGTGACTATGGGTGAAGTACAAAATTTTTAGGCTTTAGTTCCTTACATGTATTACATCATAACTGTCTCATAGAGAGCTTAGGTGTATTATTAATGATAATATTTGTAAAAGGCAGAGCACAGGCAGAATCTGACAAAGTTTGATTTTAATTATTAGCATTTATGATCATATATATATGTGTATGTGTGTGTGTGAGAGAGAGAACCACCTACTAAGACATTAAACATTACAGTTTCTCATTCAAATTTACTAATTTATTTGGAGGGGGGAGTCAGTTTTTACATAAAATTTCTAGCCCTATTAAAATACAATGGAAATATTTCATTTTGAGAAAACTAGTTATTTGTATGATAACTTTAAGAAAGAATTTCTGCCTAGGTGAAGCCTGTAGAGTAGAACTACATGTTTTCTCATGATGCTGATAATATTTGCTGTGCACTTTAGGTCACTTAACAATCACACAGACATGATGAAAATGCTTAGAAATTGATGTCTTCATGTTTCAAGTTGCCTGGAGATAGGAAATCTCTTAGGAACAGCCAAATAGAAATATATCTGTACATTCTTATCTACCCATTTTATCTTTAACGGGGTAGAAACAAAACCATGTGCTATCTTGAGTAAGGAGTCAATTGTATTTGAAGTCAAAAGACCAATGAAAATCAAGACTTCTGTTTCATATATACTCATACTGCTAGGAGGCATTTGAACAATGACTAACTTGAAGCATTTCCAGACTTCAAAAAAAGTGGCTTCTATATTTAAGGTCTGTTCAGCAAGAACCATGGTGTACTGGAATTAGGACGTATTATATCAGAACAATTAGTCTTCTCTCAAAAAAAGAGAGAAGTATGACTTTTAGTTTTCAATATAGAGCTAATAAAAATCACAGTGGCCACAAAAGAGGTGGTTTCTACAAAGACAAATAGAATCAGGGAAGGAAAGAATCGTTAAGCAGTAAGAAAGAAAACATTTTCATAAATTTTGTTTTCATTGTAGTGAATTTTTTGGTTATGGTGATAGCTGCAAGGTGAACCTAGGAGTATCCAGGACTGCCTGCCTGAAAAGTGCTGTACAACAATGGTTCTCATATATTATCTCTTAAATTGTAATTAAGTTGAAGGAGGGTAGAGAGAACGAAACAGAGGACCAGTTTGTATTTCTCCTAAAATGAATGCTTTGTGTACTATTTTATTAATAATTAATCTTTATAACATAAAAATAGGGAAGTTTAAAAACTTCTTCTAGTCACAAAGGAAAGATAGTAGGCGGTAGAACTCATATTCAAACATTGATGGCCAACCACTGATTTTCCCACTATTTTTCAGGAATGAAAAGGAAGAAAAAGTAAAGAAGTGAAAGTTGAGGAAAAGATGTAAAAGAAAACATAGTAATGTCAGAAAAGTAGTCTTCATTGAATTATTGAACAATCCTAATTAACTCAAGCTTTCATTCCAGAACATACAAACTAGCAAAGTATTCAGGTAAATGAAAATGTTCCTAAATTTATGAAAGATCTTTTTTTCTTTAGGGAATGATTATCATTCAGTTTCTTTGGAGCACTAAAAAGAGGCTTTAAAAGTGATTAAATATAGACATACTTTAAAATATTCAAGTGTTATGTACATTGAGATTTCCCTGCTTTATATCCTAGATTCTTAAAACCTTTGATAAGTCATTATTAATGACCAAATTTATTTTCCTGTAGATTTGTGTAATGATTATTAATACTCAATAAACATGTAACCGTGTGTGTTAGTTCCTTTCTTTATGACTGACAAACTAACAGATATAATTTAAGAAAGGATAAACTTATTTGGAGTCATATTTTCAAAGGGTTCTGTTCATGGTCTCCTGAATTCAGTTCGTTGTATGTTACCCAAACACTCAGGAGCCATTGTAATTGTAGTCCACGGAAGCCAGATTATGTTTTATTTTAACCCTTGATGTTCATTATGTTTAAAAAATATCCACCCTAAAAATCCATGTTTCTCTTCATAAAAATTATATAATATGTAAGTTCTAATCTTCAATGGTTTGTGATCTTTCAATAATATTTGAATGAGATTATCTCTATAAATGTGATATTTCTTAAAAGTGAGGCAACTAATATGTACACTGAATAAAAACAGTTATATAATTAATTTAGAGAAGTTTTAGAGTAAAATTATCACTAACTTTGTTAAATCTCATTAGTCCCTTAAATTCAAAAATATTTCAACCGAAAGTTTATTATTATTATTTTTTCCAGTCATGGGGCCTGAACTCTGGGCCTGGGTGCTATCCCTCCCTCCCTTCCTTCCTTCCTTCCTTCCTTCCTTCCTTCCTTCCTTCCTTCCTTCCTTCCTTCCACCCTTGCTTTCTTCCATCCATATCTTTTTCTTCACTTTTTCTTCTTTTCCTCCTTTCTTCTTTCCATCCTTCATTCCTTCTTCCTTATTTTAAAAGCTCAACTTGCCAATGGAGAATGTAGTCAATTGTGTATTCCTAACTCATCAACCTTGTCAGTTTTATGCAGTGGCTTTATATAACAGCACTCTTCTGATTGTATCAATCCTAGGCTGAATAGTTACCAAAAGACAGGAAGGAAAAGGCTTCAACTTCAAAGCTCAGGTCCTAGATATCAGTTTTTCACTCCCAGAATCAAAGAAAAAGTTTCCAGGTTTATAATATCTAAGTGAAAGGAAATGTATAAAATTGTATAAATTTATATAAATGTATAAAATATGAATAAAATGTATATAAATGTATGTATATAGGTATATAATATGTATGAAAATGTATGCAAATTGTATAAAAATAATAGTAAAATTCTTATATTTACACAGGTTAACTATATCTCTACTAAAATACATTTTGGGAGGGGGGAGATGGGAAGGGATGGTAAGGGGAAGCAAAGGAGGAGGCCACAATGCTTGATAAGAAATGTACTCATTATCTTGCTCATGTAATTGTAACCCCTCTGTATGGTATTTTCACAATAAAAAAGAAATTTATACTTTAGTTAAAAAAATAAAATAAAATACATTTTATTTGCATAACAAACATTCTATCTAGCTAGCTAGCTAGGTAGCAGGACAGAGCTAGGCTCACACCTATAATCCTGTCTACTCAGAAGGATCTCTATTCAAAGTCATCCCAGGCAAGAAAATCCAAGACACTCTTATCCTAAATTAACAACAACAACAAAGCAAGAAGTGGACCTGTCACTCAAGTGGTAAAGCATCAGCCTTGAGCAGAAAAATCATGAAACCCTGACAACCTCTTAGTACCAGCACACAAAAACACAAAAATACAGTTTGTTAGTAAGATGGAAATAATACTCTAGTAAGTAATAATCTTTCCAATTTGGCTTTATTTCATATGTATTTATTCCTCCATTCATTAAAAAATACAATGTTAATTCCTTGTCAAAAAGCTATCCTTTTGTAGAAAAAAAACTTGTCTATATGTTTTATAATTAGCACTAAATGTATAAAGAGACTTAGAAAATAATAAGGAGCAAACTGAAACAATTTTAATTTTCTTTGTTTAGTGTCTGTCTGCTCTTATATATCATTTGTATAAAGACTAAATAAAAATGTTTGCCTTTAACATGTTTCACCTAATAGAATGTACAAAGAAACCAAAAAGGATTTGGTAATACACAAAATTATTTGAGCATTTATACATAAAATGCTAGAAACAATGAAGATAGTAAGAGTAACTCACACAGTAAGCAGCTTTTTGTTTTGTTTTGTAGGACAGGTAGATAGATTGTTTAATAATCAACTTATCATGCAGGGATTATTATAAACTAATAGTCCACTTCATAAAAATCCTAGTAATACTTGAATTTTTAGCAAGGAATGGGCCAGGAAAATGCATAATAATTTTTTTGTGCTTAACACATTTGCCATTTTTAATGTATATAAGAATACTCTGATTCAGCTACAGTTGTAGAAAAACCTAAAAAATAATCTTCAAAGAATTATGAATAAATAGCCCTTTTGAACTCCCAGCTAACCAAGAAAATTGCTAACATGTTCTGATTGGAAAAAAGAGAACTTTCAAAATGACAATTCCTTATGGCAAGTAGTTTTCTAAAGCAATGTTCAAAGATAACTGCTATATTAAATAAGAAATTGTCTTATAGCACATAAAAGTAACGCAAAATTCTTATAGGCTTATGTTAGAAACCCATCTATTAAGCGGAATGCAGTTTTTTCAATGGCCATACATACCTATATGACTAGCAGAAACCATTCATCATCATTCAGTAAATAGATATGTTAATTTACCTCTAAGTTCTACGAAACTCTCTAAAGAACTTTTTACAGCATGAAATACCAACTAAATTCAAGAAAAAATCATTACCAAAGACATACTTACTTCTAACCACCTGATAACAAAGGAAGATAAAAAATTCTCAATTTTCTCCACTTACCCAGGAGTTGTGCAATGATATAAAGAGCCTGTCCCCAGAGAAACAGTTTTCCATCACGACCACAGTTGCTAGGAAATCGTTTTTGACTACCAGGATCTCTTTTCTCATATTCTACAAAGTCAGCAGGCACATAATAGTACTTTGGTACGACAGGATATCCTACAGAGTTTAAAAATAAGCACATATAAAATATAACACATCAATGTCCTCCCAAAAATCCCTTAAAAATCTGCAATGACTAAATAACACAGAACAGTGATCCAGAGTTAGCAGATTTGAGAATCTTTTGAAAAATGGGCTTTCTGGTTCCTGTAATAAATATTGTCTTTAAAACTTAACAGCTAACTGTTAAACGTTACTCAGCAATGTACACATCTTATTTAATATTTCATTTTAACATCTGTAAATGAATCACCAAATATGCAAATATTTAGCAGTTTAAACCAAGCTATATTTAGTAGGATTAATCTATTGAAGCTTCAGAAAGGATACTGTATAATCTTAAGTGAGTGATTCTAACTCTAAGTCATTCCTTGGAGCAAAAAATTTTCTAAAAAGTCCTATTTAAATATTAAGCCCATCATCTGCCAGTCAAGATCACTGAAAGAAAAAGCCCTTCTTTCCTTGTGACCAACCCATTAGAAAATATTTCTTGGAAAAAGGAAATTATTATGTAGAGGATAGAATCTATTGAAGACATTTTGCAATATCAACTCAAAGCAAACCTAATTTTCTTAAGAAAATCATGCATTTTCCCCCAAAATTTGCTTCCTTCTTTGTGTATTGATTAATTACTTCCAAGCTCCCAAGATACCTAGAACATGGAATTTCTTTGAGGATTAATTTATTCAGAAAAATCACTTTTATTCTTTTACTGTCCCCATTGATATTTGTTCTGAAACCAATAAATCCATTTTGACCATTTAAAAACATTAAATCCATCCTTAAAGGATGAAATTTAACACAATGGCAGACATTCAATATACAGTGCTAATGATCCTACAGAAGCAACACTGAAGAGAAGGCTAGAAAGTTCATGGCAATGCTATTGCCTTTGGATGAGAGCAGAGCCTCTGCAAGTAGCCTACTGGGTTATGAAGCAGTACTCACCTGATCACATAAGTTTAGATGACCTGGATAAAAAATAAGGCATTTTCTAATACTGGCACACTACAGAGTAAAGGTGTTACACAGTAACAGTTAAAAAAAAACCTCTGCTTACATAATTATCTCAGTATTACTGCAGCCACAACTGTCTAAATCCATCTCTGTTCTTGTCTTACCTAATTAGCAACTTTTACAAAAGCGCATTTCATTAAAAGAAATTTATAAAGATTTGTCATTCTAATTTCAGTTGAGTTCTTATTCACATTTTTAAATGGATATAAATTCTTATGATTTAAACAAATTACTGTTATGGCAATATACAGTTACATCAGTCAAGTAATGAGTATATTTCCTTTTGAACAGTG